CGATCGCTGATTATCTCGCGGCCGCTATCGGGTGAGATAACGCGACTGATACCAGACGGCGCGACAATATATTATATATTCAGCTGTTTGCGTGGCGTTCCACGTCATCGGGTGTCTCGAAAACATCGCGGGCGCGCGTTTCCAATCTCCACCAGGTTATCGCCCTCAGAGATTTATTACTCATGGACGTGCGGGGCGCGTTTGTTATCCGTATAAACTGCGTTTTCAGCGGAGCGTTCCCTCTTTATTTCGCAGCGTAACAACGGCGGATCAAAAGCGAGGAAATTTACGCGGTTCATTTTACGGTCGGAGCGGGACATTATTACCGGCAGCTCGGAATTTGCCTGGATAATCTCGCTAGGGCCGGTGTTTCATTTTCTGATTAGCCAGAGGTTAGTCTCGACTCTCTCTCTCTCTCTCTCTCTTTTTATATTATTATCTGAGAAGAGACAGAGAATCAATAATCAAGCCTTTTGTCGACATTAACCGGCCGGCGTTTTAATACAGAAAATTTATTGCGGAAGACACTATCTCAGCCAGGATTGAACCTGGACTTTCCCCACTCTCTAGGCGGGCGTCTTACATCGCAAACGGGAGACGCGGTCTCTCGAAGAATTGAGATGAGTAACAATTTAGATAGCCTCGAACGAGTCCACTTATTCCCAGTAGAAGATCCCGGCAATTCGGAGCGTCAAAATAACGGTCGGCGAGCAAGGTCACCGTGCCGCTCACGCGCGCGCGCGCTCGCACCATCGGGTTGGATTAGGTAAGGTTGGGATAGGATTACGCGACACCGACGTCGCCGTCATCGTCGCTGCATCGTCAATGGGCCGGCCCGGCGCGCGTATCTCCGCCGGCGCGAGGAGCGGCGATACGCGAGCAGAGAGAAAAGGGGGACACGCTACAGTTATCCCGGCGAAATGTCACGGCGCGCCGCACCGAACGGCGGAGACAACCTCGAGGGGGGGACGACCGGTTTTGTCGCCGCGATGCGACGAGATGCGACGGGAGGACGGACCGGAGGATCGCGCGTCACGGGAAAAAAGAACGACTCCTCGTCCGCGAGGGAAGCTGCGTCGCGAAGCGGGCAGAGAGACAGAGGCATGCAGAGACAAAGACAGAGAGAGAAAAGGGGGGAGGGAGGGAGGGGGGAGAGAGAGAGAGAGAAAGAGAGAGAGAGAGAATCAAAATCATTATCATTATTTATTACACGCTCTGGGACAAGTACACTGAAAAAAACATCTGGTAGATTCAACCAGTCTGTTAGAAAATGGACGAATCAGAATTCCTTTAGGATTTACCAAATGTGTAGTGAAGTCTGGCAAACTTCTGGTTATGAAATATCGAGCCCTGTCGTGCTAACTAGAAATTCTCTTTGGTTTAGCCAAAATACATTCTATCGTACACGTCTTGTTGGTACAATCAACACATTTTTCTCAGTGATAGAAAGAGTCGTTGCAAAAAGTTAACTGTGAGTGAATGGTGCATGTGAGTTAGAAGTTGCGATAAGAATATAAAAAGAGATAAGATAGATATGAAATCGCATAGTAGAGAGAATGAATAAAGTGGCTTGTAACAGAAAATCCCAAGCTGGAATAATGCATTAGAGCAGAGCGCTGAATGCAAAATTATACTGTTATATTAACCCGATATACAAGATAACGTTCCACATATCAAGTCAGTTGTCAAATTACAAAATTATACAATATAGAGAGAGAAAGAGAGAGAGAGAGAGAGAGAACGCACTCGTCTGTCAGTTACGCAGCGGAATGCGATCGAACGTTGCGCGCGCAAGGCCGCGTGCGTGTCGAAGTTTGGCACTTCCGGCGCGATCCTCGATCGAGCAGTCCCCGGGATTTCCGCGACGCGGCTTCGCTCCGTCCGGAATCTCCTCAAGAGGGAAACTGATCCGGCGATCGCTCCGTTCATTCATTTCCCTCGCACGCGCGCGCGCAGGACACGAGTAAACCCTTTACGTCCATTCTGATGACAGCCCACGTGTTTTTCGCCGGCGACAATGGGTCTCGTTCGTTACGACTCCGAACTGACCGCGCTAGTTTAGAGTTCAATCTCGTTCCTTCCAGTGCGGGGGGGGGGGAAGAGACAAACTCTGGACTGGCGCGGCCGGTTGAGCTGTAAAAACCCAGGCCCAATGGATTCGTAAACTTGATTGGAGTACCCTAGTAGCACGGTGCATTCGCTAAACACTGGCCCAATGCAACCAAACGTCGGGTCAATGTTTAACCAATGTTTGGCTAACGCACTGTGCTACCAGGGTACGCTCTTAGCCGAGGGGAAACCGCTGACCAAAATCTTGTACACCAATGCCCACTGATGCCCGGTGGGCATTCCTTTATCTTATTTTATCTTTATAATGCCCAAAAAGTGCCCAGTGATGCCGCAAATCTGTAACACCACAATTGCCCTCGGTGGTTTACCCCACGTTAAAAGCATACGCCAGTCGGATTCGAGATTTTTACAACAGTTGGACAGCAACTTTTTCCGCCGAACGCGGCCGATCGGTTCTCCGGTGCCGCGCGCGCCACGTCGAGACGCAGCAGGGAAGAATCCGCGGGCGCGAAGTCACTCCGCGGTGGCGAGCGTGCTCCCAAAGACTTATCATGCTCCGCGTGCTTCGCGAAGTGACGAAGGAGGAGGAGGAGGAGGAGGAGGAGGGGTAGGAAGGGCCTGGGCTCGTCATCTCCCCATATCTCACGGCGCGTAACACCCGTAACTGCGACGCGGCGCGAACGGTCGTCCGCGGCGCGAAAAACCCTCGGCCCTCGCGCGCGCCGGGACATTCGCTCGTTATCGTGCGACCGGCGGAGCGCAACACAACGGTCTCATTCATCGGGTATAAATACGGCGGCGGGGCGTGACGTCATCCGATTGAGCACGTCACGACGACACGGCAGCGGAACGCGTGTGTATCTTTTGGTCGTCCCATCACGTGCTCGACGTACGTCTCTTTTGTACGCGTTCGGACGCCGATCGAAGACAGAGAGCTAGAGATAGGGACGAGGGGCGAAGGGGTGAAAAAAAGAGAGAGAGAAAGAGAGAGAGAGAGAGAGAGAGAGAGAGAGAGAGAGAGAGAGAGAGAGAGAGAGAGAG